CGAGCCCGTTATGCAATGAAAAAGGTCCCGGGTTTGAGTTTCGGAGGTCACCACCCCTGTGATTAGGAATGACTGAGTGAACGGTGCGCTTTAATGAATCTCCTGCTACAACAGCCAGATTGTTTGAATTCAGCAATGATACCCATGTAAGCATTCAGAATTCCAAGTAAGGCGAACGCACTTTTTCGATTAATTCATAACCAAGCAAATACAATGATATAAGAGGGCGGTTGATGTTAACAAAACTTTAAGCAATCAATCGGCAGTAATTAGAGGAACAAGAGGAAGATAGGACGACATGAACTAATTTTCGGACCCCTTTCCCTCCTATTCCCTATCTCGTCACTAATGGTGAATAAAATCTGACCCCATTGATATTTTCACACCTTTCCACTCCTAATTATTACTGATTGGTTGCTAAGACTTTTCTTAACGCGACCCTGCCTCATGTTATTCTATTAGATTGATGATGAAAACGTTTATTCGCCCAGCCAGATTGCTGTTATTGTTCGAATTCTCGAACATGCTTTAGCTTTGGACAGGTGGCGTATGATGCGGTGTGTTACATGGAGGTCCAGACTTTGTGAGCTAAAATCCCTTTCACCGCTTCCATCCTTTTACGGTCTCGTGAAAGTCGTAGTCAGGTGTTTGTTATTGATTAAAGTTTGTGGTTTTAAGCTTGGGCGCGGATTTTACCGTACTAGCCACTCTCATCCTCTGCCGGCCCCGGTGTTCTTTCCTCTCTTAGGACATTAAGCGCGAGCGGGTGGGAACGGAGAGCGTGCGGTATATACAGCGCAAGACGCATGTGCAAGTCACTGCGTTTACCTTCGATGGACATCGTCGATACCGCAGGTCAAACTGTCGTTGCGAAAGCAACTGTTTGCTTACTTGTGCTTTATCTACTACTTCACGTTGCATCCCCACAGATTTTCAACTGCGTAGCATATTTCCAACTAAGCCCTTTCTGTTTTATATTACTTAGCACTCGGTGACTTGGTTTCGCACATTATGGTGTCCATCCGACAGGGGTTGCACCTCATCGGACTTGACTGCCGGACGAAGGCGTACCTTCTGAGTAACGACACTGGCAGAAGCTGGCAGCCAATCGGCAGAAATGTGTATGAACACCTACTCAGAGGAAGCCCAGATCATGTCCGGTCGACAAAAATACCCAGGAAACAACTAAGTCCTGGTTTTTCAGTGAAGGAAACGGGGAGTCAGTGCAATCGGTGGTCTGCAGGGCCTTGGAACAGTATGTGTTTAGATGCTTTTTGTATGACACCAAAATATTGTTTGTTTTACTGAAGGTCGTATTTGATATTTGAAAAAGCATAGCCAAAGAACAATCTCATGAAATACTAAACAAAAATCTGGAGTGCGTTTTCGATCAATAAAATTTAAGTTCTGCGCATATTCACATGTCCAACTTGGAAGGTGAATTCGAAGAACGCATATTTTCAGAATTCTTTATCGGGCCTAAAATCTGAGAGTTGAAAAAAGTTCATAAATATAGTCCTTTCGAAAAGCTCATAGCATTGGGACTGAGGAAGGGGGTGGGGGTGTGAGCAGAAAGTCAGTTAGATTACGCGGAGTGAGCATCACTTTCGAGTACGCTGAATGAATACTTATCACCTGGGTGTGGAGGCGGTATGGGATCACAACCTAAGAGGGAGTACTTAAGTGGGGGTCTAAAATTGTTTTGGAGTTGAATTAGTTGATATTTCCGTCCGCACAGGATGTCAGCTTTGAATATGCCTGTATAAACCAGATGTGTTTTGCGCAGCTCCCAACTGGAATACAGTCTGCACACGAAAGATCAGAACATATGAGCAGCTGCAATGCTTCCACAAATATGTTCGGGAAAGACTGGCACCAAAGAGCTATTGTTACATGCATACAATAGGAGAAAAAATATATATTTTTGTACGTCAAGTTAGGCGAACGACTGTTTTAGATTATTCATCATCAGGTTAGTACAATAATATGAGAAAGTGCAGAATTAGGTTGGCTCGAATTGGTTGCTAAAATTTGTTAAAACCACCCTTCCTTATATTGTTTTACTTGCCTGATGATGAAAAATCGAGAACGTTCGTTCCTCTTACTTGACATCTGGAACGCATACACGGATATCGGCGCGGACAGCTTTCTGTATCACTACAAAAATACTATATAGATCTCACAAACATTTGAAATGGATAAGAAATAAGCTCCATTCGCCCTGGGGTGCGTTAATAAACAGACAGATACAATGCTTATCTTGTTTAGCTCCTAAGGGAATTAATGCGTGGACGTGAAGCAAATTATTTGGCAGTTTTCTAATATTATATGTTCATAACGCAGTAGTTAGTGGAGTTTGGCTCAAACATTCCTATAAAATTACGGATCGATCCTAAATAGTTTTGTTCCGATAAATGCAATTTAACTTCCCTCCAACTAGGAAATTGAACCACACTGTCTAAAACTGAAGTGCATATACCAGAAATCATACGGGGAACGCTGTGGATGAACGACTAAGCTAAACTGCTGCAGCTGCGCACGGTAGTCGTATAAGATTAGCAAGACACATTTTTCTAGGTTTTTAGCTAGCACGTGTGCTGTCAGTCTGAGATATAATTAAGTTGATACCATACTATTTGAATACACATTGTCATATTTGCCATAATGTTCAAAATCAAGGTGTTCTATTTCTTTGATTAGAAGCTTTGAAAGAGACGAGATGGCTAAAAAATGAGCACAAGTTAGCATATGACGTTCTTAGTTTCTAAGAAACATATTTAAAGTTAGATGACAAGTTGGTGGGCTTTCGATAAATTTTAATCGGACCGTTACGTTTATATGGGAAGGGAATAAAAGGTACAGATGCAGGAAAATTCACTCATAATTATATTCAAATTAGGCATTGAAATAGGGGAAAGGTTGGTGGTTCATAATAAGTGGCTCGTTACACAGCAAGGCTGGTATAGAAATTCGATTTAAAAGTGTATGCTACACAAGTAGGCAGTTATCCCTGTATGGATCGTATGCGGTCGAAAGAAAATGCATCCATTAGCCACATTTTTGTATGTGCTAAAGATTTCTGGACTATGCTATGTGATAATCATTGTCAAAACCACACTTACGTAGTCCTTTCCATTCGAAAATATATTTGAATTCCGGTCACTATTTTATGAGGTCTATCAATACTTTTATTTCTTTTAAGAGATGCTTGATGTCCATTTGCCTGTTAAAATCGTTTCGCCAT